TCATTTAGTTAGTTTTGCTTTTCTTGTTGGCCAAATACTCAACAGTTTCTACATTTGTAGCATAGATGGATATTACTTTGAAATGATTCTCAACCGCTGAACTGTCACAGTATTGCAGGACTTGGATTTTTAAACAGTGTTTCTGAAAGATGATTTTTTTTAATGCTACTGAATTTTGTCACCACTAGCAATCACTTTGARAATGAGACCTTTAGAGAAAATTAAATGAACTTGATGCCAAATTGTTGGCTTACAGAAAGTGATCATCGCAGGATTTTCTGAGGAGTTTGTACAGTCGAGTCAACAGCAATTTTTTTATTTCTCACAAACTTGTCACAGTTTAAACTCATGACTCAGATTTTACAAAAACCTGTCACTGGATTCCTGTAAAAGCCTTACTTTTCTTTGTTTCAGTGTTTTATTCCACACAAAACAAATGCCCCCCTCCCCCTCTTTCWCTCTGTTCTGGCTCTGATCATGTCTCTCCTGTCTTGTCTTCTCTTCCCCCACGTTCTGACTAATGTCCGTTCCTCATCTTTTTTCTTTTCTGTTTGCGTCTTACCATTCTTCATTTTCACTCTGTCCTCGCAACTTCCACACCCCTTCACTTGATCACTTTTATTGTTTATTTTTTTTACTCGTTTCACACATGTGCCCACCTCCCTGATTGCCACTGCCCCCAGGCCTCATCATTTCTCTGCAGCTGCTGCGAGGAGAGCTGGAGCACATCAGACGGGAGAACCAGGCTGTGTTCAACAGGGCCTTGGCGCTCACACGCAAGCTGGGTTTCCCAGATGTCATCCTGCCAGGTAAGGAGGCCTCCTCCCTGTAARGGGTATGGAGAGGAGGAGGGAGAGACCAGGGGCCAGATGGCTCACGGGAATGAAAGGTAACAAAGTAACAAAGAATTCTGTGGAAAATACAAGCATTTAGGACATTGTTTGAGGGACCTCAATTTGGAAAAGAGTTTAATTGAGCAGAGCTAACATGAGTCAAGTGGAATTATGTACCTCAAAATGACTCCCGTTCCAAAAATGTAATGCAAACACAAATTTCCAAGCTTTCAATTTATCATTACATGACTATTTCCATAAACTTTGAGATTGTATGAAAGTACAAATAGCAGCAGATATCTGTATATTATTATTATTATATTCATTTGCTAGCTGTAGTTGATCCTGCTGTGACGAGCCATTAGATTGACTGTTGATATACAGT